TAAACGAATAAATAATTTGCCTCGGTGATTTTTTGTATTCGAGGAATCGTTTCAGCCCTAAGTGTATGTTAATCTTGAAATATTACTGACAATATAAAATGTAGCCTATTTTTGCATTTACTTCATAAAACATTAAAGATTTCTTAGCTAAAAGATGTGTACCACGTTTTTAGAATTAGGCTATTCTAAAATTCATTTTACTTGCTTTATTTTAATGCTAAAAAGCATGAACTATTAATCAGAGGGGAGAAGGCATTTGGAAGATTGTGAATAATTTTTTTTTCCTTTTCCTCCAATCATTTCCAGCAGTTGGTCCTAGCAGAAACACCAGTCCGTGATATTTATGGAAATAAATCATTTTAGTCATTGTAATATTGGCAGTTCAGCATGGTAGTGAACAAAATGTTGGAACACCTAATAATAACCATTTATATATTGAATAAATTGATTGTTAGTAAATCAGCTGAAGTGTATTTCCTGTGCTAGAACTGAAAGTGTTTGTCTTTTGTGCAGACATATGCAGGCTCTATAGCAGTGCAAGATGTTCAACAAATCTTTTGGTGCTCCCTTTGGGGGAGGGACAGGAGGATTTGGGACTACTTCAACATTTGGGCAACAAAGTAAGTTAATATGTATGCTAAGGTATTTTATATGTAAAGGAATTTGAGAACTAAGAATTAATACTGTACAGAGATAAAGAATTTTGTGTTACCTTTGTCATCAGATACTGGATTTGGAGCAACAGGAGGCTTTGGATCTTCAGCATTTGGGGCAACAAACAACACAGGGGGACTGTTCGGGACCACCCAGAACAAACCTGGTATGCTGTTTTCTGTAGCAGTAGGTGTATGCAGAATCTCACAGCCATCTTTAAATGCTCATAGAATCTATCAGTTTTTAAAACATTGTTTTTTTTATTTACTTGTATTTGTTCCTTATTTGTATTAAAATTTGTGTTTGTCCTCAAGGTGGCCTATTTGGCCCGAGCACCTTCAGTCAGCCTGTCACATCCTCCACCAGTAGTGGGTTTGGGTTTGGTGCTACCAGTGGCACATCAAACAGCCTTTTTGGAAGCACCAACACTGGAGGTGGAGGATTGTTTTCCCAGCAGAATAATGCCTTTGGTGCCAACAAACCAGCCAATTTTGGCAGTAAGTTTCCTGCAGCATTCCAATGTAGCTATAAATTGTTTGATTTATTGTAGAAGTAGTGTCTTGGATTAAAAGGATAGCTCAGACATAATGGACCTAAGTAACTGTTTGAATTGCTTTGCAGCTTTTGGTACCAGCACCAGTAGCGGTGGATTATTCGGGACAACCAACACAACATCCAACCCTTTTGGAGGAACATCAGGCTCTTTGTTCGGGTCATCAAGTTTCACTGCTGCTCCCCCTGGCACAACAATCAAATTCAATGTTCGTTTAGAAATGATTATACTTTTTTTCTTTTTTCTTTTTTTTTTCTTACTGGTAATTTAGGTACTTTTTCATACATGGTTTTTTACCTAAATCGTTTGCGTTTTGCTGCAGCCACCAACTGGGAGTGACACAATGGTAAAAGGAGGTGTGACAACCAGCATCAACACCAAACACCAGTGTATCACTGCCATGAAGGAATACGAGAGCAAATCCCTAGAGGTAGGTTGGATTCTCTTGTTGTGATAGTTGTTTTAGTACTTGGCAGCCTGCTGAAATAATTGTCACAAGCACTGTTTGTCAGGTGCTTTGATAAACAGTCTGCAGAGAACAAAATGTGTAACAATTCTGTTGTCTAGAGTTTTGAGGATTTAAAGCCATGATGAAATATCTATGCCTTTCTTTCCTTGATTTTAGGAATTAAGGTTTGAGGATTACCAGGCAGGAAGGAAGGGTCCTTCCAACCCCATGGCAGCTGGCACGGGTGGCCTCTTTGGTGCAACAGCCACAGCTACTCCCAGTACTGGCACTGGACTCTTTGGATCCTCAACTCCAAACACTGGCTTCAGCTTCGGCCAGAACAAGACCTCATTTGGCACAAGTAATTGGTTCTTCCTTATTTTTTTTATTTGGATTTTTTTTTTTTGTGTTGAAAAAGTGTGCTAAGTCTTTGCACTGCAGGCACCGGGGCCTTTGGTACAACTACAGGAAGTTTGTTTGGCCAGCCGCAACAGCAACAACAACAACAACAACAGCAACAACAACAACAGCAAGGTTCCAGTCTCTTCAAACCATTTGGCTCAGCTACCACCACCCAAAACAACACTTTCTCCTTTGGCAACAGCAGCAGCATGGTGAGTTCCAGCAGTAGTAAATGTCTGCACTGACTTACTAAATATTCTTAACTGATCTTATTAATCTAACATCTGGGCCCGTATTCACAAAACATCTTAAGGCTAAAAGAAACTTATAACTCGCCGATTTAGGAGAATATTTTAAAAATAATGGGCGTGTCCATCCTAAATTTAGGACTCCTACATTTTTGCTCTAAGAGTATTTCACAAAGTGTTTTAGCGCTAAAACTAGCTCCTAAATATGTGAAAGGTTAGGAGTAGTGAAGAGGACTCCTAAGTCACTAAGACCAAGCCACAAACTATTCCTAAAATGGCTGCTGCTGGCAATCTGCCTCTGAACGTAAACATTTTTGAAACATTTACATTTACATTTAGTCATTTTGCAGACGCTTTTATCCGAAGCGACTTACAATTGGGGGATACATAAAGCGATTCTTCTTAAAGAGGCAAACAGATACAGGAAGTGCTTGTAATACCAAGTTTCTAGACATTGTTCAAATAAGTACAAGCTAGAAAGAGAAGGAATCAATAAAGAGAGAATTTTTTTTTTATTTTTTTTTTTTATGATGATGATGAAGTCAAGTAGCTTTGAAAGAGATGAGTTTTCAGCTGTCGCTTGAAAATTGTCAGGGATTCAGCATTCCGGATAGGGGTGGGAAGATCGTTCCACCAGCCAGGAATGGTGAACGAGAATGTTCTGGAAAGTGATTTTGAGCCTCTCTGTGATGGTACCACGAGGCGTCGCTCACTAGTGGATCTCAGACTTCTGGAGGGGATGTAGATTCGTAGTAGTGAGTGGAAGTAGGCGGGTGCTGAGCCTGTGGCTGTTCTATATGCAAGCATCAATGTCTTGAACTTGATTCGAGCCGCGACCGGTAGCCAGTGCAAGGAGATAAAGAGAGGTGTAACATGGGCTCTTTTGGGCTCGTTGAAGACCAGTCGTACCGCTGCATTCTGAATCATTTGTAGAGGTTTGATTGTGCTTGATGGAAGTCCAGCCAGAAGAGCATTGCAGTAGTCCAGCCTAGAGATGACA